GAATGTTTGCGCCAGCCCACACTCACATTCATTCATCAGCATTCATTCAATGGGATAGGGGAGAGGGGATTAATAGAAATGTAGCACAAGGAGATATAAATTGATATCAGGTAAGTATACAATAGGATACAGACACAGGTCTGCGACGAGGAATATGGGATAGCAGAACAGGTAGGATAGAAGATGAGTATTGCAGACCTGAGGGGCAGTGCCCAACCGTCTGCATATACCCGCTTTATGTGCAGCCAATACCAGTTGACAGGCCTGGTTCAGCAGTGAGATTAGGAATATGTTCTATCGTGTTCAGAGAACGAAATCAGGACCCGAATAAAATAATATCAGATGCATGGTCATTTCCTCAGTTGCTATGCCTTTATGATAGGTTACAATTGAAATCATAAATTATAGTTTATAGTTTGCAAACTTTGGGGGTTGATAAATATATAGGTTATGCATCTAGAACAAACGGTATGATGCAAGTCATATCTTTATAGGTTATGTCTTTTATTGCTTTGATTACAGGTAAGTATAGCACAAGGTACAGACGTAGGGCTCTAGAGAGACTCCGGAATTAGGTAGAAGGTAGGGTAGAGAGTAGGTATCATACACATAGAGGGCTAGAGCCTGACCATCCATTCATACACACCTCGTGTACAACCAGTGCACTTTAGTTTGACAGAAGTCTAAATGTGAGGTTAGGAATCTGCTCGAGTGTGCCCGAGGAAAGAAATCAGTCCATGCTTAAAGCAATCCCTATTGTATGGTCAGTTTCCCCAATTACTGTGCCTCTATGACGGATTAAGACTTGAAATAAATTATAATTTATTATCTATGAGCGTTGAGGAATGACAAGGACATAGGTTATGTGTCTGAAATAGCTGCATGCATGATATAGCCAGTCGGCAGGCAGAGATCCCACTGCTCATGCGTATGGTAATCGTGCTATTGCGATTGGGTATTAGGATCTAATCACCGATATTCGATCTCGCTATTCGATAAGCGCTTGGTGCGTCATACGGCTCGTCCAATAGACGACGAGTGGACTTGCGCAGAGAGCGAGCTTTTGGTTGGTCGGTATGCACCAGTAGGAGGCTAGCTGACTCCTTATTGGGAGACAAATACTATGACGGTAACTTTTGTAGCTGGTGCTCAATTCAAATTAAGCTTTAGATTATTCTAATTAACTGTACTGGAGTGCATGCGAGAGCTAAAAGGTGGGATACAGTAAATTTATTTGCCGTCCCGAGAGGTAATTTGATGCCGCAATTACAATAGGAAGGTGTATTTTAATTACTGGTTGAGATTGATATCATAAAAGTATAGATACTGCAATTGCATTTGCGTTTGATATCAACTTTGCTAGTTAGGATATCATATACAACAGCCCGTTATTTAATACTGGATATATGTGATCTCATGGACAGAAAATCAAGGTACATACAGTTCGTATGATAGATATCAGGTAATAGGTTATGTGGTATGTCACCTATGTTTGAGCAGGCCACTTGAGTCACTAGCACCATAGGAAGCATAAAGAGTTTTAATGATGCGGTTGTTTTGTGTGCCATTCATCGTTTGGTAACATACTGAATGCAGGTTATTAAACGTCTGCACCATTAAAAGTATGACATTTAGGGTTATGTCATGTTTAGGTTAAGATTATACTCCGCTGTTCTAATGTCTGAGATCAGACCGAACGCGCGCATGACGACAGGCTAGATAAGTGAATCATAATCGTTTATGCCTAGATCTCACATTTCGATTGGTAGATTAAGTAAAGACGCAATATATTCTGCCAATCCGGTAGCTAGGTGCATGCGCGGACAAAGCAATGTACGTGGATTGGTACCACCGAGCCAATCAGACACGTTAGGTTACGTTATGGGTTCATAGAATCTATAGCCAGCCCGGCGCGAGGTTCAAAACCGATATGTATCGAGGTTATGGCATAGTGTATAAATACTAGAAATTAGGGAGTATTACATTAATCACTTAAAGATGAATCTTACATTAGTTCTTGGGAATATCTACAGGGACAGAGCGCTCGGTAGATAAATAGTGCGCAGTCAAATGACTCTATATAGGATAATAGAACGTTACGCGTGTAATTATTCACGATTAGGAAGCAAGTTGCACCGGTTTAAAAGAAATCGATCGTGTCTTGTAGTCGGTCGTATTATACAGTTACCGGACATATATCGCGTAGCAATATTTAAACGGTGATATAGATCAATGATATAGATTAATAGATGACTCACTTTGCGTAGGCCAAGGATACTGCGTAGAATCGTATGGGTAGAGGTTATGGCACTCGCTCACTGCAGTACACGTTAAGATCCCCGAACTGGAGATTTGAGGCTAACATTGCATATGCTGTAGCATATAGCTACGTAGTTGGTTTCGCGGGCCAATCATTGAAGGGAGTTAATCCTATTGGGCATTTAGTGTTCTACGTCAGAATTGCACCCAATAAGAAATAATAGCACATGCGTAGATGCAGCACCGGCTCAGATTGGATAATAAGGGACCAGTGGTGGATAATCTTCTAGGGTATTGGATCAGCCGAAACTATGACGCACCACTACTGCGGTCGGCGCGTAATTCGAACTGTAAAACGCTTAGGTTACATTGATTCGGAATAAATAACGCATTAAATTAAGTTAAGAGTAAGATTAGACTATGCTAGACATAAAATACTTAAGTTATCTACTCATCGTCAGGACACCAAGTTGCGATTGGTTCGTATGTGCCAATTGTCGTTTAGGAGTGTTCTCATTGGAACACAAGAGTTTACGTCACGAAGCGTGGCCAATAAGTAGCTGATACGTCAGCGTAATAGACGTGAGTTCTTTGATTGGAGAATGAGGGCCAATAAGAGAATGTTTAGAATATTATTGGACTAGAAGGTCTTAGAGTTGGCCAATAAGAGTAGTTTAGAGACTAGCATAAACGTTTTGATGAGGAAGAAGCCGTATGACGTCATTACGAGTTACGTAATACTTAATTTCATAATTAAACTAAATTAACAGCAAGGCGAACCTTATTTATGTTCAGAAGTGGTTAAAAAGACTCACTGAAGATTTTTTAACTTCAGAGTAGCGGAGATGCTAGCTGCGCTGGAAATAGTGTCGTTAATAGGATGGTAGGCCGACCTCGTTGCCTCAGGATTCGTCAACTGGACGCCATTAGACACATGACACAGAAGATTACGAATTACATCACTGGACAGCACGAACGGGATACAAACGATGTACTGGATGAATCCTGACTTTGCATTTAACAGATAGAGACACTTGAAATAAGTTAGATGCACTTTACATTCACTTAGACGAGTCACGAAGACGGAGCGGCACGTCGGCACGTCCGCAGCGTACGACGGTTCGAAGCCGACGCCTCATACTCTTTTTAGCTGCCTAACGAAAATCTTGAAGGTAATCTTTTTTTTTTTTTTGCCAAACGATAAGTGCGTCCCTTTACCGCGTTTTACTTTATAAATATCAGAAGGAGCTGTCATCTGGCCGTAAGGACAGGTATATGTTCGGTTTCGGAAGGACCGCGTGTGGAAAGTGGTGAGTATTTGTATACTGTCCTTTAATTTACAAAGTTTAAATGAATGTACAAGTTGGAGTGGTTTCCATATTAATTTGTTATCATCATATCTTTCTTAGGAATCGAAGAATAGCTGGACGAGGAAGCCAGATTGGAATTGCAATTGAGTGTCTACCAGGAAACATTAGTGGTCTTGCGCAAACATGAATAATTAATTGCAAAATTGAAGAAAATTATCTGTACTCGAGTGCACCGCTGCAATTCTCTCTAATCAAAGCATAAATATTATTTATATAAAAATTATATATTATACATATTTTATATATTATATATATTATACATATATTATTTTTATATATATATATATATAAACTATTTTAATGTTCTTATGCGACATGAATAATTAATTGTGAAATTGAAAAAAGTGATCTGAATCTGAATCTATTGTTAAACAATTTCAGTTTAATTCAATTATAAGTTTTCTCTAAAGGGTGGATGTATGGGAATGAGTGTGAGCTGCAAGGATCATGCGATATGGATCGGATAACGTTGTTGCTGCGAAACCAAGGGAAGCGTTGGACGTTTAAAGCGCGTTTAATTTACAAATAAAGTTCTCGCCTTACAAAATTGTGATACAATAAATGATCTAACTTTAAACGTTGAGTTTAGATTTTGCACTGAGTTTACACAAATGTCCGTTTGCACTGAGTTGAATTGTCCACGCTCTCGTCGTTTGTATTAAACGCGAGAGTTTACTGATTGACTGATTTTTGAGTTAATCAATCCGAACACGAAGTTACGGCCTGTGAGATTGTATTAATTTCACAGAGTTTGAGACTTTGAATACTGAATACGAGTACGCCGAGAGATTCCGTTTGGTGCTGATGATTCCGAAACGAACAGTGAGGACCGTTGGCCGTGAATTCGGTGCCTGGCTTCTTCCTGCGCAGGAGGTGATTTATGCGTCTCCAGCGCACATACGCGGTCCTTGGTGATTGGCTCATTGATTCAGGCTTCGATCGCATGATCCTATGTTCTATGCGAGAGCGCCTTAAGCATTTGAGATTATTTCTCAAACAGTGGACAAACCAAAATTTTGGTAGGAAGATTGGGTAGTAAATTGATTGGGTATAGAAAAAGATATGTATTTTAATTAATCTTTATTTTTATTATTATTTTATTTTTCTTCAGGCAGCGACTTCTGAAGGGCGCGTGCAAGTTTCTTATATACGCTGGCCTGCATCCCCAGCCTCGTGTGTTTGTCCATTTCCGACAATAAAGGATATAGTGACATTAAGTATTGCTTGATAGGATCAGATTGTTGCTCTTGAATGTACGCCATTACTTTACTCGCCGTACTTTCATTTTCTCCCGTACTTCGTCTCTTTCGAGATGTGGTCGACGTGCCCGATCGACATTCTTTATCATCTACAATTCTCTCCAGGCAATTTGTTTCAGAATTTTCGAACTCCACTTCCGGGGTAGGGCTCACCAAGATCCGTTCTTCTTTTATTTGTAATAAAGGACACGATGGTAACAATTTAATATGGAAACCACTGCGACTTGTAAATTCATTTAATCTTTGTAAATTGAAGTGCAGTATACAAGTACTCACCACTCTGCATACGCGGTAGTTCTGGAATGGAACATACGCCACTCTTAACTGCCAAGTGTGGCTCCAAAAATGATAATTCTTTTTGGAATTTGTAAAAATTGACGTTTGAGCCACCTTGCCCACTTCTAGTTTTCTGCCATTTTAAGCATCTCCGGTAGGCATCACGGATATTGTGCCACCTTCCCTTACAGGTAGATGCTGAATTGAAGAAGGAAATCAATTTATCTCTTTTCGTTATGTACCACCGTATGCTAAAACACGTGTACACACACACACACACACACACACACACACGCGCGCGCGCATCTGTTTACAAGAAAGCAACACTCGTACGTGCACGCATATATGTACGATTACATAAAAATATAGTACTTACGCTCCAACTGCAGTTCCTTGCCTATTTTCTCCCAAATCTTACTTTTTAATTGCCTATCCATACACTTAGGCGATGACGCATCATACAACACACAGTTGTCGCGCACCAAATCGATGAGTCTTTCATCGTCGAATTTTACCGACATTTTGTCACGAACTTCACGACACGATATGAAGTCCTCAAGATATCAATTTTAAATGAATTCTCAGCACGATTTTCTCAGCTTCCTATAGTCAACCCAGGTAAAAAAGTAAGAACGTTGTCCGACGAGCGATTCTGGTCGCCAGATGTGAACGGACGATAGGTACAACGCGGTAAAGGGATGTAATTATCGTTTGGCAAAAATTACCTTCAACCAAATTTTTCTGCGGATCACTTTTCCTAATTTCCTAGTTACATATTTATGTTCGCGCTGGATTATTAATGTTATTCGTTTTTGTAACCGAGGTTTTCGTTTGTCCAAGACTTAGAAAAAAGTTATGCACAGATGAGAAAATGTAATACTCGCACTTACGTACCATGTTCGTCAATTTAATAATTATTAACGTGAATATATATGTGGTATATACGGTTCGATTTAAATTAACAACTAAAATGAATAGA